TTTGGGGACTATTGGGGACGTATTTATAAGTTTAACCAAGTTTCAAGTGCCCCTTTAAGACTACCTAGTATTCTTGGGGTCAACCACATGACTCAAAATCCCTTGAGATATGAATAAAAATGAAACAGCCGCCATCTTGGTTGATCAAACAAGAGAAGCTAATGAGGAATGCTTTGTTATCGWMAACCAACGTGGCGGCAATGACGTAACATGTAAGCATTTTATACCCTACCTTATTGAAGCAGGACTCCCATTCAACAGCAGACAACGTCTGCATATCATGCACCAATAGAGCCCTCTGTAAGTACGTCAAAGCAGACATGCGCACTTCCTTCCTGTTATCACAACACAGCCTCGCTATCCCCTGCAGTAGAGGGCACCAACACTTAGTCCACAGGAAACCCATCTCGACCCCTGCTTCGGGGGGTTCCTCTACCTGGACGTGATGCGCTGGGACCTGGGTACCAATGATTGGAGCCTGCGCAGTAAGACCTACTTTTGGACCATTTTGACTTGGTTGTTTGTTAATATTTGTGACTGCTGTATCTTTGTCGTAAAATCTTGCGGCGTGGGTATGTAGTGCGTAGATTAGTTCAATCAGCTGTAACGACATAGCGTCGTACGCGTTATTGATCGTCTCGAAGATTTCCACCTCATCTTCGCTTGTAGATGAACTATTTCCAGAAGAACGAGCGAATTTTCTTTTAGTAACACCGGTAGGACTCTTCTTTGATTTTGAACTCGAACCTTTCTTATTCGACCGGCCACTTTTTGGTTCGACCGGAGGGTCCTTGAATTGGTGTTCGTTTTGTCGGAGTCCGGCAGCGCTGTTGAGACTAGCTTCAGCATAGACGCGGACAGCGTGGATGCAGTGTARGAARTTCTCTTTCCTTACGTGRTTACAGTCACGGATCAAGAAGGTTAGGCTTTGACAAGACTTGATAAAACACTTGCTATCGTGTTTATTGAGCTGCACACTGACCGTCAAGTCGTACTGRTTCGCCGGTAGATCATCCGATTCATCTTTATTTATCAACAACCATGTATCCCCCGATGTAGATGTCCCCGAATCAGCTTCGATTGCCGTAAACGAWCCGACATCACTATCACAAGTCGATAACGCGTCGGAAACCGAATCACATTCTCCAATAGCTGAATCACTATCGACGTCTTTGACTACAGTTGGTGCTGGAGCCGGGGTCCTAGCGGTCACGGTGGGAGGCGTGGCTGCAGCGCCGACACATTCTATAAGAGTAAACACTGTGATCCAGTCTCTTGTGGTAGTGATACTAGAAGCATTGGTTCGAAGGAGTTCGTGAAGACCAAAGCATATCTGTCGACCACACGCCATTAAGACACTGTGTTTCATCATTAGTAAGACTCGCAACGTTGTTAGGACTTGGGAGGAGATTTCGTCTTTACGAAGTAAGCGGATGGCGAGACGAAGAAGACCTACGACTGATCGTTCAACCAGAGAACTAGGCGATAAGGAGGAGGAGGTGAGTAAAAGTAATTAAATTAAGGCATGGTCAGGGGGGGGGGGGGGGGGGGGGGGGGGGGCTTCGCTTGTCACGCACAGGATTCAAGATGAGGCTTCGTATATAATGCCCCCAGTGATTCGTGACAAGAGCAAAGATTTAATTTAATTTAGCATGTAGCTTCGTACAGAAACCTTTGTACGTGTGACAAGCGAAGAATATCTCGGAAGTGGGCTATTCTCCTTGGCCCGGTTGTAAGAAGCCTGGATAGCGCTATCCAACGGATAAATCTTATCCAGTGGATAAATATATCGGATAACAGCATCGACTTATCCACTGGATAGGGATTTATCCCTAGGATAGCGCTATCCAGGCTTCGTACAACCGGGCCCTGAGCAAGGGGCTCACGAATAAAGCGTGCGAAGGTGCGCTGTGTTTAAAAAATGATTGGCCGTTGCATCCACCTCAAGCAATTAGAAACAGAGATTGATTAAAAATATTTAACGGTGGGTTACCTGTGGTGAGTTGCATTGATAATGATATTGGATAGATGATCTCTAATGGTATGCCATAACATCGATACTCGATCCCTATATAGCAACAACRAAGTAAATGAGCTGTAAATGAGGAAGGTCTTTCACTAGTTCCATGGTTATTACTGTAAGTTAGGTCATAGAGCAATTTTCGTATGACTGTGAAAAGCTCAGTGCCGTAAGCGTGACGTGCCGTGACCGTGATACGTTTTAGAATTTATTGGCTTATCTTTTTTCACGCGCAATATGATTGGTCTAAAAGTGCCGTGATCTTCACGTGACCGTGTCCGCGCCGTGTTTATATGCCGTGTTCCGGGTATTTGATTGGATGGAGAGTAAATTCTCGTGCAATGTGATTGTTCTGGCGTATCCCTTGCCGTGTGACGACCGTGTTCGTGCCGTGAACTTTTCAGTCATACGAAAACTGCACTATATAATTAGCCACTCCGAGGTTGAGGAGAAAACTGGGTGGAGTTGGCATTTAGGGGACAAAATAGACGCCATCTTGGAAATATGTCCGAAATACGTTTCTTATTTTTTGAAAACAGAATTAAATCTTTATTCTTTGTTTACAAAATGTATAATAAAACAATTATTGAATTCAGTTCTCGCATGATAACGTAAATTATCAAGACCTTGTCCGCTTTATCCGACTCAGCCTGCGGCCTCTGCAGATAACACGGCCTTGATCTTGACAATTCACGATATCATTCTCAACCACATCCAATAATAAAGGTTTTGCACCACCACGTGACGGCAGCCATGTTAGATGGCAGGGACAAAACAGTCGTTTTACATGAAAAAGAATATTCCTTTTTACAGTTCCATTCAGTGTCCAAGAATAATAGTTCCTAGCCGAGGCTGGAGTTACCGCGCATGATAAACTGTAGTTTTGCTATGCGCGGAAACTCCAGTCTCGCCTAGGAACTATTATTCGTGGTCACTGAATGGAACTGTAAAATGGAATATTCAATTCCCGAGAGCAAAGAGATTTTGTT